CAGCACTGTTTTCTGCTGACCAGAGGCCCCCCCCCCAACTTGTTGCCCCCCAGCACTGCGTGTGGCACTGCCAGCCCGGCTGTTACTGCCCTCCAGGCCAGGTGCTGAGTGCTGACGGGGACTTCTGCGTGCAGCCCAGCCACTGTGGCTGCCTGGACCTGCTGAGTGGGGAGCGACACCGCTCAGGAGCTCGGCTGCTGAGGCCTGATGGCTGCAACTACTGGTGAGGCGGCCATGTGGGCAGAAAGCAGGTGCAAGGCTGAGGGTGGGGTGCGCCTGAGCTCTCCCGGGCCTCAGCTGCTGTAGGTTAGACTCCTACAATCCCCGAGGAGATGCGGGCAGGCACTCTGAAACTCTGGTCTGACGGGTGGGGAGACCGAGGCAGCCAGCTCTGTGCATCTGCTCTCTGGAAGACGTGGAAGGCTGGGTGTGTGCTCTGAGGGGAGGGCGGGGTGATAGATATGATGTTCCTCCTCGCTGGCCGGCCCCCGTTAGCAGCACACTGCCTGTGGTCACACCCCAGTAGGACGCACTGGTCAGCGACCTGCAGGGAGCCTGCAGGACACCCGAGAGGTCCCTGAATGGGACAGGGAGAAGGGTCTAGATGCTCTGGAGAATGGCGAAAGGGCATCCGAGAGCCTGAAGGGAAAGGAGGGCGTAGCGGTGAGGGGAAGGGAAGAGGCAGCCTAAGAGGGGTGCATGTGGAGAACACAGGCAGGGCTGAGCTGCTGTCCCCCTTCCTGTGCCTGCATGCCCTGCCCAGCACCTGTTCAGAGGGGAGGCTGAGCTGCACAGACCTGCCTTGCCCAGGTACGTATGTCCCAGCTCAGGGGGAGGTGAGGAAAAGCGGCCGGGGTCACAGCGAGGGCTGGGACTGGGGAAGGGATGTCTGTGCCCCAGTGCCCTTCCATTGTCCCCTGCCGCAGTGCCTGGTGGCTGGTGCCCATGGTCGGAGTGGACGGCGTGCTCCCAGCCCTGCAGGGGCCAGACGAGGACCCGCTCCAGGGCCTGTGCTTGCCCCGCCCCTCAGCACGGGGGCGCCCCATGTCCCGGGGAAGCAGGGGAGGCAGGGGCCCAGCATCAGAAGGAGACCTGCCCCAGCTCGCCCGAGTGCCCAGGTGAGATGCCCCCACTTGTCTGCTCAAAGCTCAATAGGCCGGGCACCTCCTAGGCCTCCTAGGGCAGTTGATGCTGTCTTCCCGGCACAGTGGACGGAGCCTGGAGCCCATGGGGACTGTGGTCTTCCTGTGACGCGTGCCTGGGGCAGTCCCATCGGAGCCGGGTGTGTATCTGGCCCCCCACCCCCGAGGGAGGCAGGCCCTGCCCTGGGGGCCACAGGCAGAGTCGCCCCTGCCAGGACAATTCCACAAAATGCACAGGTAAGGGCTTCTGTAGAGGTCAGGGAGGGTCCCTTGGAAGGCTTGGGAGACACGGGCTCTGGCCTTTGTCCCCAGTATACGCATGCATGTCACTTGCTTTGAGAGGCAGCATTTAGATCCCTCACCTTGTGGTCCTGGGACAAGGTGGAAAGTCAGGCGGCTGGGGGTGGTGAGGCAGGAGGGCTTGCCCCCTGAGTCCTGGGGTCCTGCAGGATGGGCCCCTGCTCAGCGTCTGCCCTCTCTGCTTCCTTCCCGCCACAGAGTGTGGGGGTGGCCAGGGTCTTCTCCCCTGTGGGCGGCCCTGTCCCCGCTCCTGTCAGGACCTGTCTCCCGGGAGTGCGTGCCAGCCGGGCTCGACGGGCTGCCAGCCCAGCTGCGGGTGCCCCCCTGGCCGGCTGTTCCAGGACGGCCTCTGTGTGCCTCCTGCCCTCTGCCGCTGCCAGTACCAGCCTGGAGCCATGGGTCAGTGCTTCTTTCCATGCTCTCCCCATTTCTCCCGAGCACCGCGGTGCCCGCCGGCCTGGCCTCTGCCTGTCTGGCTCCGGAGCCCAGCCTGGGCTGCAGGATGTTGCTCCAGGCGTTAGTGTCTCGTGCATCCCCCCGCATCCCTGCTCCAGGCTGGGGCTTCCACCTCCCAGGCCCAGGATCTGGGGCACCCGTGGGGTGTAGGCTGATAGGGAGGGAGGTAGAAGGCAGTGGGATAGGAGGAAGGGTTGAGGGTGCGGGGCCCGCTGAGCTGTCTGGGGTCCCATCCCGACTCGTGCCCTCAGGGATCCCTGAGAACCAGAGCCGGTCAGCAGGGTCTGGGCTCAGCTCCTGGGAGAGCCTGGAACCCGGAGAGATGGTGACCGGGCCCTGTGACAACTGGTGAGTCAAGAGGAGCAGGGAGGGGGTAGGCTGCAGAGCCGGGCAGTGGGGGCTCTTGTGGGAGTTGGCCAGGGTGCTGTCTTCTGAAGCCCCCTCCCTTGTCCCCAGCACCTGTATGGAGGGCGTCCTGCAGTGCCAGGAGGTGCCCAGCTGCCCTGGGCCTGGAGTGTGGGGCTCCTGGGGCCCCTGGGAGGACTGCAGTGTTTCTTGCGGGGGAGGGGAGCAGCTCCGCTCCCGGAGGTGCGCCCGGCCCCCCTGCCCTGGGCCTGCCCGCCAGAGCCGCACCTGCCGCACCCAGGTCTGCAGAGGTGAGCCCCGGCCGGGGTCTGCCCTTGACGGATTCCCATGTTGGCCTCTGATGCTAACTCATAGGTGCCTTTGACCTCTTCCGTCCCATCCCCCTACACTGCCCTTTCCCGGGGCCAGTGATGGGCATGTGGAGGAGGAAGTAGCCAGATTCAGGGAGGAGAGCCTGTGGGAGGGTGTGACATTGGCCCTGAGGGGCACAACCCAGGGAAGGTATTGTCTGCACAACTGGGGAGCTGTGGGAAGGTGGGTACTGGGGTGAGTAAGCAGGCCGTGGGGTGAGCACAGAAGTAGCCATTGAGGGCAGTGCAGGCCAGAGCTGGGCACTGACCCGAGTGTTGTCCCAGAGGCTGGCTGCCCAGCTGGACGTTTGTACCGGGAATGCCGGCCCGGCGAGGGGTGTCCCTTCTCCTGTGCCCACGTCACTCGCCAGGTGGGCTGCTTCTCCACCGGCTGTGAAGAAGGCTGCCACTGCCCTGAAGGCACCTTCCAGCACCACCTGTCCTGTGTCCAGGTCAGAACCCACTCAGCCAGGAGCCCAAGACCCTCCCCTCCCTTCCCCTCCCCTGCCTTTCCTCCCCCTCCCCTGCAGCTGCTCACCTCTGCAGACTCTGTGGCCTCTGGACAGCTCCCCGCTTCCTCATGTGACCCCAGGCAAGCACAGTCCTGTGAGACTGTCTGTGTGAGTCAGGCAGGGGCCGAGCTCCCAGAGCAGACAGCTGAGGCTGTGCAGGCTCTGGATGTCGCTGGGTCCCTGGAGTGGGGAGCTTGTCTGGGCTCCTGCTCTTCAGCAGCCGCTGTTCCTGGCTCTCAACTCCAGCACGGAGACACCCAGGACTGAGGTGTGGCCAGATGCCCCCTCTGGCTTCTTGCCGCCCAGCAGCTGGCAGCCAAGGGCAGTGGCTCCCCACGCCATGCAGGCTGGGACAGGAAATCGTGGGTCCTCACAGTCCCCCTTTCCCTGCCAGACCCCTGTGGGGAAGCATACCCAACCTCCACTCTGCCTGGCCCCAGACTCCTCGTCTCCCGCTGTGGGGTCTGGACAGCAGGCCAGTGTCAGCTCTGCTCTGCCAAGCTCTATGGGCACGTGGGGATTTCCTTCTCAGTCTTTAATCCTACCTAATCGTGAAGCCGGCGTCCAGGGGCTTCCCCCAGCCAGAGTTCCAGCCAAACTCAGAAAGACCTGAGCAGCCACCTGGTCCCATTTGCTTGACTTAGAGCTGATGACACTGAGGGGGCCCCAGGGAGGGAAAGGGACACACTGAGTCATGCAGTTATTGGCAAAGCTAGGGATCAGGCGTCTGATTCCTGGCTGAGGCCCTTTCTGCCTGAGTGCTCTCTCCAAGTCCTGTCCCCTGGGGGCCTCCTCTGGTCCTGCCTGTGTCCCAGCTGAGATCTGTATGCAGGAAAGCTCCTGGCCGTTACAGGTCTAGCTCAGAGGCCACTAGGCTCTCAGGTTCACACCCCTGACTCAGGGAAACGGCTCCCCTTGCTCCAGGGAATGCTCTTCTGGTGCCCAGAGCCCCCCCTGAAACCTCACATATCCTCCCCCCACCCCCTCGCCCAAGGAGGTGCAGAGGGCTGGCACCTGACCTGTGCAATTGCCTTTTCTCCTCCCTCCCACCCGCCAGGAGTGCCCCTGTGTGCTGACCGCCTTGCTGCTGCAGGAGCTGGGGGCTGCCGGCACTGACCCGGGGGCTCACTCACCCATTTTGGGAGAGGGCGGTCAGCCCCTTGGGCCTGGAGATGAACTGGGCTCAGGCCAGACCCTCCGTACAGGCTGTAGCAACTGGTGAGGGGGACGGTGAGGGTGGGGGAGAGATTTGGAGTCAAGGGAGGGGGAGGCGTTGGCTGCCCTGGCCCTGCCTGGCCTGGGTAACCTTGGCTGTGTCTCCTGTTCTTTGGGATGGAGACGCTTGCCAACACCCCTTTCTCTCAGGGTCTATCCTGCCCAGCCCCTCACCCCCATGCTGTTTCCCCAGCTCTTGTGTGCATGGGAGGCTGTCTTGTTCAGTGGGCAACTGCTCTAAGGCCGCTGATGGCTTCAGTCCCTGGGGGCCGTGGGGCCCGTGTTCCCGCTCCTGTGGTGGGCTGGGCACCCGCACCCGCAGCCGCCGGTGTTTGCAGGCCTCACTCGCCCCGGGCAGCCAGGGCTGCCGAGGGACCCTCCAGGAGCTCAAGTACTGCCCCAGCCCAGACTGCCCAGGTGAGGGAAGTGGGAAGGGAGAGTCTGGCCAAATACACCTCAACCCTTCCGTTGTCCTTTCCTGCCTCTGCCCATCCGAGTTGCTGTCTCTGGATCTCTCTTCCTCGCCTGCTAGCTGTGTGTGTCTCTTCGATTCCGGTGTAACCAACGTTTCTGGAGCTCTTGCCAAATGCACCACGCTGTGTGTGTTAGGGGGATAGTGAGGACTCTGACCTTGGAATCCAGGGGCTCAGATAACCCATCTCAGCATGTGGTGAGCCCTGTAGGAGGGCGCACATGCTATGGAAGATTGGGGAGGTTGAGAATTCTCCTGGAGGGTCAGTGTAGGAGGGCTTCCTGGGGAGGCAGCATGTGGGGTTTGAGGAGGGAGAGGACCTTGACAATCATTGGAGGGGAAGGAATGCCAGGTAGCAGGAGCGGCTTGAGCCAAGGCCTTGCTGCCATGAGGAAGTACTGTGCTTGGGGCCCAGAGGGTCGGTTGGAGACCAAGCTGACGAGGGGCTGAACCAGATAGTGATGGGTTTGGAACGTGGCCACCAGCTTCAGGTTTGGTCCTGGTGCGGTGCAGGCTCAGAAACACTGAGCAGGATTCTTCTTTGGCACAGGGGCTGAAGGGTCCACGGTGGAGCCAGTGACCAGCCTTCCAGGTAGCCAGACTCCTTGGGTCCTGGCCCCAGACTGCCTGCACCCTTGCACATGGCCTCCCTTTGGGAAGAACAAGCCCAGGGCCTCCTCCCTTCCCAGCCCTGCTTCCTGGGAGGCCTGGAGCCCAGGGTTGACTCGTCAGGAGGTGCCCCTCCCTCCTCTCCCCTCAGGCGGCTGGGGCCCATGGTCGCCGTGGTCCCCATGTTCTCGCACCTGCACAGACCCCACTCACCCTGCTTGGCGTGGCCGCGCTCGCCTCTGCCTGGCAAACTGCACCGGGGGGGACACTTCACAGGAGCGCCCTTGCAACCTGCCCTCCTGCACAGGTGCGCCTTCCAGTCTTGACCTCTGACCCTGACCTATGTCCAAACCACGGCCATCCCGTCTAATGCCAGCATCCTCCCTCAAACAGCTCATTCTGGCTCCCAGCCCTTGTCCCACATCCAGCCCCCAACATCTAATACTCCTGAAGCAAATCCTGAACTCTCACCCTGACACCTAATCATGAACCCGTGTGTGACTCTGGACCCTGGGTGCTTTGTGTCAGCCCGGCAACTGTTGGGGAGCCACTGCCAGCACCCAAGAAAACCCTCACTTGTGTGTGTACTGAACAGTCCCCCCGAAATTCCCATCCAAATCCCTCAGTACCCTGTGAGTCTGTGAGTCTGGGGCGTAGTTGCCAAAGCCCCACAACAGCCAGTGTTAGATCCTAAACAGGAGCCCAAAGGTCTGGATGAGGTCACGGCTGGCCCTCGCAGACGAGGAGGTCTGCCCTCGAGCAGAGCGGGGTGGGCTCCAGCTCAGCTTTGTCTGGTCCTGTCCTGGCCCGCAGAGCTGCCCCTGTGCCCCAGCCCTGGCTGCATGGCCGGGAACTGTTCCTGGACGGCCTGGGCCCCGTGGGAACCTTGCTCCCGAAGCTGCGGGGTGGGCCAGCAGCGCCGGCTGCGGGCATACCACCCCCCGGGGCCCGGCGGGCACTGGTGCCCTGACATCCTCACCGCTTACCAGGAGCACCGCTTCTGCAGCCTGCGGGCTTGCCCAGGTGAGGCCGGCCGCCGAGGACCAGGACGCGCCCTTCCCTGGCATCATGTGCCCCTGTGGTGCTTCCATCTCCGTGCACAACCCTGCCCCAGGCGCCTGGTGCGTGGGGGGCCCCCGCTGCCTGAGCCAGATCCCTCACCTGGCCCTTCTCTTTTCCACGCAGTGCCTGGAGGCTGGTCACGCTGGAGCCCCTGGTCCTGGTGTGACCGGAGCTGTGGGGGGGGCTGGTCCCTGAGGAGCCGCAGCTGCTCGAGCCCCCCGCCCAAGAACGGGGGTGCCCCCTGCGTGGGGGAGAGGCACCACGTGCGGCTCTGCAATCCCGGGCCCTGTGGTATGGCGGTGGGGACATCCCGCACAGCTCTTCCCACCCCCACCTCTAATTGCGTTCCCGCGACATGTTGGGATGGAGACGCTCACTGGCCAGCTGAGAAAACCCTGAGGCCCGCGGGGGGTGGACGGTGGGATCTGGGCACTGGGCGAGGACCTGCCCGGGGTGAGCTGCCCACCCCCAGCTGCACTAGAACTCATTCTCGCCATCTTGTTCATCCTCCTGTTCCTGGAGAATCACCCAGCCCCGTCAAGGTTTTCGGAGGATTTGAGGGTTACGGTCGTGAGTGCACTTGCACCTGGGATTGGGCTGAGCCAGACAGGCTCCTCCCAGCTTCAGCTCCTTCTGAGCTCACCGACCCCATGGACCTTGGTCCCTCTAGGGCCTTCCAATACTATTAGGACACCCCCCCCCCCATCCCCTCCAGGTGAACACAAAGCAGCCACGTAGGTGAGCATGTTGGCTTCTTAGATGCACAAATTTAGTCCAGCTCGACGACATTTATTGGGTGCCAGGCTAGGTGCCGGGAACCCCCAGGTAGGTGAGAGGAACTCCTTGTCACTCAGAATGTCCCCATTCCAGGGCCTCCCCAAGGCCCCATGTTTCTATGGGCACCAACATGGGGAGAAGGATGGGAGTACAGCTTCGTGGAGGTAGGAGTGGTTCCCAGGCAGGCAGGAAGAGGGTTGCTGGTGCTCAGGGCCCTCTTGACTCTGGTCCTCCCCATGTGCTCAGAGCAGGGCTGCCCAGCGGGCATGGAGATGGTCAGCTGTGCCAACCGCTGCCCCCGCCGCTGCTCAGACCTCCAGGAGGGGGTCGTGTGTCAGGACGGCCAGGCCTGCCAGCCGGGCTGCCGCTGCTCCGAGGGTGGGTGCTGCCCTGGCCCCTGGGCACATCACAGCGACTCGGTGGGAAGGCAGGTGGGACCCCGGGTGCCTGCACAGCTCTGGAGGGCTGCCTCCCCGCAGGCTTCCTGGAGCAGGACGGAGGCTGTGTGCCGATCGGGCACTGCGAGTGTACGGATGCCCAGGGCCACAGCTGGGCCCCAGGGAGCCAGCACCGGGAAGCCTGCCGCACCTGCACCTGCCGGGCCGGGCGGCTTTCCTGCACGGCTCAGCCCTGCCCACCGCCTGCCCACTGCGCCTGGAGCCGCTGGTCAGCCTGGAGTCCCTGCAGCCACTCGTGTGGGCCCGGAGGGCAGCAGAGCCGCTTCCGGTGTGTATGGGGCTGGGCCAAGCTAGTGTCACCTCCCCCAACCCCGGTCCGCCACGCCTGGACGCGGTCTCCCTCTCTGATGCAGAGCTCCTGGATCCTGCCCCCCGGGGGCATGCCCACTCTGTGCCCTGGCCCCACCTTTGTCCCTGGTCATCCTTGCCTTTAGCCACCTCCACGCCCACCCCAGGCTTTCCCATCTGGTGTCCCACCAGGAGGTGGAGGAGTGATGAAGGGCCCTGGGCCATCACTCACCTTCTGTGCCCCGGGCCCCACAAAGGTCCTCCACGTCTGGCTCATGGGCTCCAGAGTGCCGGGAGGAGCAGTCCCAGAGCCGGCCCTGCTCTCAGCCCCCATGCCCACCCCTGTGCCTGCACGGTGCCCGCCTCCACACCTTGGGGGACAGCTGGCTGCAGGGCGAGTGCCAGCAGTGGTAAGTCTGGGCAGAGGCAGGGGTGGAGCGGGGACAGGGCGGAT